TATTCAAAAAAAAAAAAAAAAAAAAAAAAAAAAATTAACAAAACTGCAAACACTTTAGTAGACAATTAAAATTTTTATTATGCAAATTATCTAAATTTTTTGAATTCGAGTGTAAGGATAAGAACGAAGAAAGAACTGTGCAGTCATAAAAAAAAAATAATTTTACATTCAATACATATTACGTGTACACTTACTATTTTCAAAGTAATACTTCATTTACATACAAAACAATAAAGAAAAATGTCGATTTGCACAACAACAAAGTATTTTATGTATGTCCTACGGCAGGCTCTCTATTTCAGCAAGGGCGAAAAGTTTTGCCATTTCAACTTTTATGTTTACTTGTTGGCGCAACGGTAGAGTTCGGAATGTATGCGCATAGCTGCTAAACAAATGGTCTACTGCATCGCTTCCCCCGCTCACAATTTGAGCTTGACATTGCCGCTTGTCTTCTAAGTGATTCGACAGCAAGTCAGCGTAATTTGATTTAGTGCCAGAATCTGTACCGTCTTTCGTTGCCATGCCGTTTGTGGTGGAAATTTCAAGGCAGTTTTCTGGTGATATATTAAAGCTTTCAACTTTTGCATTGTGCACCAATGGCGCACTTTCTTCAATCGGTTGAGCTTCTTTTTTGTACGGTTTTTCATGACGGCGTTTTGTAGTTAAAGCATTCAAAGTGGAACGTATTTTATTTGAACTTTTCTTTTTCACTCTCTCCGTTTTGGCCTTTTTATTGTTCCGTAAGTCATTGTCATAACTAGTCGGACGTTTCATGGGTGGCGAAGGGACGCTGCTTTCGGGTTTTACATGTGCATGGGACAGTGAACGTCGAGCTAAAGTTTCATCTAAGAATGTTAAGTATCGAACTTTCAAATAGCGATTATTCAGAGCTTCCTGTTCGGCATTGTCCCTAACTTTATTCAGTTGATTTTTGTATTTAACATAAGAGTCACGTAAATTCTTCCATCTTGCCTTAACTTTAATAGCTAAAAGTAAATAAAAAGTTTATATGTAAAAATTTCTTAATTTCTTTAACTTTAATGAGAGGCCAACATCTTCCCGCGTAAGTTTCTGGCAACATTTTAGATAAGATCTCTTACTTACGCGACATTTTTAATTCCTCTCCAATTTTCCTCCATGTTTGCTCCTTGGCGTTTAGGTTTTTGTATTCCTTATGTTGGTCATCATAAAGGTAAGGATGCGTCTGTACTTTACAAATTAACTGTTCACTAAATTCATCCATATTTAGGACAAATTTCAAGTGTTAACAAAAATAAATTCAAGCTATACTAAATAAAAAGCGACAAACAAAACACCGCGGCGAAATTATTGACGTCGTTGCCATATAGTAGACAACATACATATGTATATTATAAGGTGTTCTCATTTAGTATTATTAACAAAATACAAAGGCAAAAAACTAATGGATGCCTTCGAATTCGCCTCATTTTGTAAAAATTCACAAATTAATGTAAAATGGTCTGTAGCAGCATTAGTGATAGTATAGGAACATAAATACTCAATGTTTAGCTATTTGTATACAAATTTTAGTAACAAATATAACGCATTTCGGTAAACAGTCTCTCGTCATTCTTTGAAACATTTTGAGGTAAAGTCTCAATATGTGACTAGTTACTATTTACAACCCAGTCTCTAGTCTTCAGGCACAAAACGTTGTTTCAAATTTGTAACCTGACAGTTAGCAGGTAACAAACATAAAAAAGCTCTTGTTTGCCATTTTGAATATACTGACACTTCATTTATAGACATTACCATAGATATTACTAGACTGTCTTTTTTTATTTTTTGTAAGCAACTCAAATACGTAAAAGATAAAAAAAATCAACTTACAAAAACAACATTTTTTATTTATACATATATACATTTCTATATTTATGACTCATTTGTTGTGAAGCAGGCATAATCTTGTCTCTGACTTGAATCCTCACGCAAAGCGAAGAAAGTTGTATGTGAATGCGCCCTTACGATCAGTTATCTTAAAAATACAACATTGTGTCATGCCAAATTGTCAGTTATTTATTATGATTATAAAACATTAAAGATGATACGGAAGAGTTGCGCGTGTCTCGCTGTACAGCTGATGTGTGGAATACAATGCTCGCGACAGACTGTAATATTACTCAAAGCTCTAACAAACCTGACGTTATTCTACAAATAAAAGCATAAAATACCTCTGTTACATCATTTATAATAACAATTGATAATTTAAAACAAATAAATTTACCTATTTACTTATATTTTGCTTAAAAATTTCACTTTGAACAAAATATTAAAATTTCATTGAAGTGCACGACGACAACAGCTGCTGAGTTGACGTTACGAGTTTTCGAGAGAAAGGTTCTGCAAAAGAATTATGGTCCTTTGTGCGTTGGCCACGGCGAATATCGCATTCGATGGAACGATGAGCTGTAGAGATATTCGACGACATTGACATAGTTCAGCGAATTATAAGATAGCGACTACGCTGGCTAGGTCATGTCGTCCGAATGGACGAGTCCATTCCAGCTCTGAAAGTATTCGAAGCAGTAGCTGCGGGGGGAAGCAGAGGAAAAGAAAGATCTCCACTCCGTTGGAAAGAACAGGTCTAGAAGGACCTGGCTTCGCTTCGATGTGTTAGAAATGGTTTGTAGCGACGCGTTCCTGATCTAATCAAACTCAGAACAATTTTGGGAAAGCTCTACATCAATCGTGTTTTGGTGGCAACTGAATGATCTTTGATAGTTTTTAGCAGTTGTGTTCCCAAGACGGCTGCCTGCAATTCAAGGCTCAGAATTGTCATTGGTTTTAGTGGAGCGCACCTCGTTTTGCCACATACGAGTACGACGCAAACTTTGTTATCTGTATACTTTGCTACCAAGTAGACTAAGACTGAAAATGAATGGATTACGAGTGAGTGCACTTTCTCACCCGCACCCTTTAAGCATTTTTTAGACGCTGAGTGTTTTCGAAATTTGAGTAGTTGCATGCTGAAAGTGACTAAGCGAAAGCGGCGGCGGACATGGGCTAGTCTTGTTGAATTTTTCTTAATACAAGTAGTGAAAGCAGATGGTATTATATAACGTTAGCTGTTGGTCGCGACTATAATGAAGTTGAAGGCATAGAACCTATCGAAGTGGCACTGAGTAAACGTGTGTGTGACGGCTGTAGACGTTGACGTAGACTACGGTATCTATGGTACAAGAGGTGTTCTGATATCTATCTCATACATTGACCGATATTTTCGGTCAAAAGTCAACTAAAGATACTGGGGTCCACAGATTCGGTACCTAGGGTCTTGAACAGTTTTGGTTGGATTTGGACAATTTTTGGTCAAAAGGTGCCATATCGTTGTGAATTTTGGAAAAGGCTTACGGTGACGGAATACGTTGAAACTGAAATCGTAAATCGTTAGAACTTAAAGGAATTAGTAGAATCAAGCATTCTGCCCTCTTGTATTCGCTAGAGGCGTCACAATCAGTCGGGTTCCATTACATCGTTTTTGACGCATGCAGATTGCGAAACATATCAACGACAGATCCAACTTTGAGACTCAAATAATGCGGTGACATACCAAGCCTCTCCAAAGAATTTAGAAACTCCACTGGGTAATTCGCGGCGTCGTATTCATTGTCAAAACGATCGATCGATTTGTATGAGCGCAAGCCTCCTGCAATTTGACTTTGAATCTTCCAGTTTAAGTCAACCACATCGGTATTTTAGGCAGCTAACATTGCGCGTGCACTTAAGAAATCGTAGTTACGATAATTTGTCCAATGTCCGAACATTCGTGATGAGTTTACTTTTCGTGAATTGATAAACGGCGAATGGAATTGACATCAAACCTCCGGAAGTATTAACCGGAATTGACCCATTTCCAATTCTTAGCGAATACATTTTGTTGGTATCCCATAATTTACACAGGTTTGAAGGCCGATATGTCAAGATGATCATCGCGAAAAGTGTGCGAATTTCATTTGCATTCAAAGTAGCTATCGCATTGTACATCGTTTGATTCCAGTGATTATCATGTTCCAGCAATTGTAATTGTTGGCTTGCTTCTCCAAAACTTGCACACACCGTACCATTCACAGTACGCAATGACTGAAATGAAGTTGAACCGCGTACATTAATCAATAACAATCGAAGGTAGAAGCAATCGTTGTTTTTTCGGGTGAATTGTATAAATTTGTCCTAATGCATTTGTCGGTAACACCTGGATGTCCATCTACTGGTTGGCCTTGCTTTTTGCGTAACTATGTCTTCAACATTGCATTCCATGTATAATATTAAAGCATTTCCGAATAGCGCAATGTTCTCGCAAAAGGGACACTGACGAAAGTTGAGCACAAACTCGTAAATGTTAATTTGGTGTTGGCGCTATTTCCACTAGCTGTACTGTATTCTCTGGGTTGAAATACACTGTTTGGCCATTCTCCAAATTAACTGCGAGATGCACAACAGTCGGAAAACGTTCATGAATTGCAAAAGTAAATATCCTACAAATCGCTTTATTGCAGTTCACGTAACGACCGTATCGTTCAAGACCAATAACCGCCATGTTGCTTCCTTTGGTGACGTAATTACAAACGTATTTTATCGATTTCACCAAACTGCAATACTCAACATTGATATGAGTTTTGAATGTTAATTAAACAATAATGGTGAATATAGTACGATCCATGTGTTGTCAACTTCGATATTCATTCTTTTAAATTGAATGCTGCCATTGTCGTCTGGTGGACGACGCCGATAGAGTGGATATCCATCATTTCCAGTTTGTGTCTCCGAAGGAAAAGCACGTGGATTATGGTGTCCGCAAGGTTCATGAACCATATTGGTTTTCATCACTTCGTATAATATTGGATCTTTTTCTGCATCAGGAATTTCCGCAGAAATGATTTCATCAGTTTGATCTGATGGAACCACCATCCACCATCTAAAGAAGAACAGAGTACATCTGGCATCAAACAGCACCACATATATGTTGCTTCACGATAAAGTCCATCAAACATCGTAACTGTTGTTTGAAAAGTCGTGCTGTGACATCGTGACGATCGCTTGCTAATTAACCGCGATCCATAATTCCGCACTGGGTGATGTGCCTTGGCCTGCCAATGTATGTTGATGCCAAAAAAGAACGCCTTCCGATATTAGAGCTACCACTTTGTGGCTTCGTACAAATTTCAATCTATAATTGATCATTTGGTGTGAAACACAAAAGTTTTCACTGAGATATTTTCAATAAATTTTTTTTTGAATAGCCGGAAATATCGTTAACGCGTCTATACTGCTACCTCTTTACTATTATTAAGTCCTTTTATTTAAATCTCTGTGCCGAAAAATCAACTATTTCTATCAGGTGATCTCAGCTGTTGACGACCATATGATTCTTTTGTTACTTGTATGTTTCGAATGATTTTGATGGATATTTTAGGTATGAAAGGTTTTCTTGCTCGACTCGTCCCGAAAAAGCTGATTTTTTTTAAAGAGTACCGTAAACAGGTTTCTTTGGACATGCTTATTGTGCGAATTCCAATCCCACATTCATAGAGAGCGTTATAACTGCCTATGAGATATAAGCTTATGAGTCCATCGAAGAGTTAAAACAAAATTTGTTGATGGAGCTGAATGCCATCCCAAAAAGTGCGTATGAAAAGTGTTTCGAGGACTTCAAAAATCGTTGGCATTAGTGTATTACATTTGCTGGGAATTACTTTGAAGGCGACAAAATAAATATTGATGAATAATTAAATAATTTGCATTTTATTTACACCCTCCGGGTACTTTTTTGCCACCGGTTGCATATTACAACATCTAGGATAAGAATTAGCTAATCAAAAACAGTTTTGTGATCCGTTTACATAAAATTACAAGAATTTTAGAATTTGACTTGAAGGAAATTGTCCGACTCGGTCACATCAGAAGAGGATTTTAAGCTAATTAGCAACAAAAATCTGTATAGCTGTTATTAATTCGAAACAAAATGTTACTCATTCGAACACAGTTTAACGAATTGAGTTTCTCCGCAATTTAGGAAATCCCCCCATAAAGCTGCAGGCATAGAAAACAATACGTTTTATTGCGTTATATTTTTTCCAAAAAGAAAATCTTTATTCTTATTTCTCTTTTTTTATTTTCTTAATTAATTTTTTCTCACTTCATATTCTTTTCATCAATTTCATAAACTAATTTTATGCTAATACCTTTAGTTAAATTATTTTAATATTTCATGTTTTAATTATCGTCAATGTGACGAAACAGTTTTTTGTCTGTCAATAACGATCGATCGACAACAGACCTTGTATGCATTACAACATACTTGCAATTTTAAT